TTTTTTAAAAGAAAAGCAAGCCTTACTATATACACATAGACCATAAGTGTAACGCCTATCACATTCACAAAGTATTCACAAAATATGAGAGAGATCCATACTTCATAAGTAAAAAAAAAAAATGGTCTTAACTGACAAGTCGCGTTTTTTGGTGAAATAGAGGAGTTCTTGTGAGAACTCCGAAGTTAAACGTGCTCAGTGTGGGGATACGACAAAAAATGAGTGACCTTATGAAGAGTCACTTTAAATTGCACTCCAAGAAAAAAAACCGTGAAGACCGAGGCCCAAAAAGAACAATATATATGTCGGGAAAAGATTCGGGATATTATAATAACCTTCTCACGGACATGCCTAGCATGGAGAATTTTGCCCACGAGCACGAGGAGCCTTCACATGTTCCTTCAAGTAAAGCCTAAGCAATAAATCTAGAAGGAGGCACACACCAATGATGGCATTGAATTGAGGGGATCCTATTCAACTCTACTTCAAGCTTCCTACCAACAGATTAGTTCCGTGTGAAAATGCAGAGAAGCATGAGCTACTTCTAAGAAACTGCATGAGCATGGCATGTTTTCCCATCCCCCCTTTAAAACAGCAAGATGCAGAGGTTTCGTTTCATTTGTTAGGTGGGCATGAAATGCATGCATGGCCCGATTTGGCTCCAAGTCTATCCAAATTGATATAATATCGTATTAAAGGATCATGTACATGTAAGAAATACAAATATTTGTGTTCAGTTTGATGCGATTTGGATTCCAAATCGATGTTTATTTTCTTGTTTTTGCACATGATCCTATCAAAATCAAAACCCAAGTTTAGGCTTGGCAATTATACCCATACCCATGGGTTTATAACTATCCAACCCATTTGGGTTGGGTCTGAAATCCAATTAAAGTGTAAATGGATAAAGTCAGATGGGTCAATACCCATACCCATTATGTTGGGTTTACTTGGGTTTTACCCATGAACTTGGGTTAAAAAATCCAAACCCAAATAATTAAAAAAAAAAAAACGAAACTAAAAAAAAAATTAAAGACAATCGAAGACTCTTCCTCTCGCACAGTCGACGACTCTTCCTCTCTAGTCTCTACCCATCTTCGTCGACGACGAGCCGGCTGAGCCACGACGTCGCCGCCCTGGCCACCAGCTCGACGTCGCCGCCCCGGCCACCAGCTCGACGTCGCCGACCCGGCCACCAGCTCGACGTCGCCGCCCCGCCTCCGAACTCGGCTCCGACCACTGAATCGCATCGATGCCCCGATTTCGTCGCCGCCCCGGCCACTAGCTCCGACGTCGCCGCCGCTTCGAGTTCCTCCATTCATCGTCCCCCAAACCCTTCCCAGGTAATTGACTAATTGGGTTTTGGTAATTGAGATTTAAAGCATATCGTAGTACCTCTGTGAAAAGGGCTTCCATTCCATGGATTTACAGAGCCCCGCTATAGGATTCCGTTGACTCCCGCTATAGCCGCTCCACCGTTCGCCTTGGTGAGCTTAGCAGCAGCTGTTTCGTCCACCACATCAAACAAGCCTGGATCTAAGTCCCTGTCCAATCGGATTCTCCTTCTCGCTGCTCTCTCTGAGGTATGGAGGATTTTTCTGGGCTCTTGTTTAGTTCTGATATGTTCAGCTAGCTACTTTGTTTCTCTGTTTGGTGGACAACTTGTTGAATAGTGATGATTCGCGAACCGTGTTTGAGCTGGGAGAACCCATTGAACTTTCTGTTTGTGTTACTGAATTTGGTGGTTCTTCTTCCACTCTAGCTTTGTGTCAATCACATTGATGCAAACCACTCCAGGAGTTTGATTTGCGTGCTGTGTCTTGGGTGTCTTGGGGGAATTATCAGCATCTTAGGCCTTCTAGGACACGTTCAATGGATTTTTTTTTTTTATGGATGAAACGAATTTTAACTTCATTCATTACATGCTTGGTGCATTGAAAACACTTGGACTTGATGTGGAGCATAACAGTGAACTGAAGCGTGCCATTGTTAAAGGCTGTGGTGGTGTTAGGGTGATAACTGATAACAATCCCTAATACAGATATGTGCCAAGTTGCTGACTTCTCCCATTTTCCTCTTTCTCACATTAATCTCTTTAACATGTTGATCACACACATTTTCCCCCAATATGTCTCCTCACTTGGTTACACTCGTGTTTTCATTATCCCAATATGCAGTACAATGCAGAAAGTCATATTGTTCTCACTCGAATGTTTGGTTGTGGTGGTGTTTTTCCTGTAGCATAACACTTGGTTGAATAATTGTGTATTGTTGTCTCTGTTCGAAGCATATTTAATCCTTGTTTGGTTGAATGATTGTACTGTTGCATTAGTTTGAATGATTGTTTGTTGCTTGCTTGATTTTTCTAGGGAAATATGGATTCAGAAACTAATGATGATAGTCTATCTATGAATCATGAGAGTAGTAATGGACAGCATAGTGTGTCTTCTAGTCGTATGGTATGGTCTTCTGGGAAGCAGTGGTCTGAAGTGTGGAAGGATTATAATCGAGTTGTAATTAGTGGGCTGAGAAAAGCTGAATGCAAATACTGTCATAAAAGGCTTGCGGCTGAATCCAACTCTGGAACTTCTCATTTGCGCAATCATTTGATTAAATGTCGAGTAAAAAATGCTGATCTAGTCAAGGTTGGTGGACTTTTGGGTAGTAAGAAAAGGAAAATTGGTACTGGAAGTTCGAGTCCTGCTGTTTTTGACCAAGAAACTAGTAGAAGGGACTTCTTGTGTGGTGAAAGAATTCTGAAATTATTGCTATAATCTTGCAGACTCAATCTAGCCACATTTATCGACTTAGAGTGGCATTGTTGTTTTGCTTTTTAGTCAACTCTTATATAGGCAAGGAGGCTGTTGAACCCAGTTCAATCATTGTTTTTTGCTTTATATCTGTTATATGGTTTAATTATTTTGCAGGTGTAGCCATTTTCTCTCCTGATGTTGATGGTTCGACTCAAACCATATTCTGTGAGAATGATGGCGGTGATGATGAACAAGTTATGGAATATGAGGACTGAGAAAGAATCTGGGAGTTTGTTTGATTTGATTATGTAGTGAAGTTATGTTCAAAACTCAAAACAAAGTATCTCATTTCTGTTGTTGGGTTCCTCTGTAATACCCTTCCCTTATAAACTAGCTTTGAAAGAGTTGTAAGCACAGTGTTGGATTCAATGGTTTGAGAAATATGGAAGTGTTTCTGTGGTTCTCTGTTTCTGGTCCTTTGCCACAAGGTTGAGAAACCTCCAGCTCCCCCAAACTGCTCACGTTTATAAACTAAACCAGACCCTTCTGTTTTCTCCATCTATTTCCACCCCCCTTCTGTTTCCTCTATGATTGAACATATCACCAGCAAACAGCACTTTTCCGTCCTTTTCCATTAGTATGTCTTCTGGTTTTGGTTCAGGAATGGGGAAAGAGGGGAGAAGAGAAGCTATAGGCCTCTGTTTTGCCAGAAAGGAATCTCAGAACAGAGCAACTCCCCCAAACCAGAAAACGTATAGGCCTCTGTTTCTTACTCATCTTCACCTGATTACGTGTGAATCAATGAAATCTATCTTATGGTGTTGGTTTAGGAATGGCCAAAGGTTCAGAGTTGAACCCACAAGAAGCTCCAATCAAGACAGAGCCAGAAGAAGAAGGGTATTTTTCTGGCGATGCTCCTCAAGGTTTGGATGTTTGCTTCCGAGTAGTTTACAAGAAGTACATGGAATTCAATGTGGTATTGTACAATTTCACCCCACTCTCTGTTCGGCGCCTTTTCCCCTCCAATCCAACAGCCGCCGCGGAGGCCGACCCTGGGCGACTTGCCGGAGAGCTGTGTGGCGCCGATTCTCGCTAATTTGGATCCCGTCGAGATTTGCAAACTGGCGACGCTCAACAGGGCGTGTCGCGGCGCGTCTTGGGCTGATTTCGTGTGGGAGTCCAAGTTGCCGGAGAATGGATCGGAGGCAGCAAGTTCGTCGAAGCCGCCGCCGACGAAGATATGGAAGCCGGGAATGGAACACGATGGTCGCTGTTGCTGACAGCCAAAGTTACACTTTAGTACCTAAAGTTTTTAAGAAGATAAAAATAGGTCCAGCATCATATGTGGAAAATTACATTTTAATACATTAAAAATTTCTCTTTACATTTTAACACCTAATAAAAAAAACATATACAGGCAGGTCCAAAGAGATGGGTACCCAAGCCCAATCCATACCCAAAAATAAAATCCAAACCCAACTCCACCTACCCAAATCTTACCCAAATCCATATAGAATAAATCCATACCCAACCCATATAAATGGGTATAATTGGGTTTGGGCAAAAATACCCATGGGTGGGTAAATTGCCATCCCTACCCAAGTTCTTTAACATTGAGAAACGAAATCGAATCTAGTACTAGGCCTACCATGTAGAGTGTGGATTGAATTTGTTGGTCAAGTACTCCGCCATTATCAAGATTTAAAATGACACTTTTTTTTTTTTTGGCCTAATGCATCTCCTCGAATAGGATAAATGTCACAGACACAGTTCCGTTCGCAGCAACTCGTGTGAAGGGCATAAAGGTAACAGAAAACTTTGTTTGGTCGTTATTAATTGGTTACTTTTGAGGAAGAGCTTCATTAATTGCTTGCTTAATTATTCAACGGCTTCAACTTTAAAGTTAACCAAGACCAAGAGACGGGTCGTCGAGAGCGGCCCAAGACCAAAAGGAAAAGAAAAAAAGAAAAAAAAAAGTAAAAGCACCTAATTCGAAGAAAATGAGATCCCATCGACGGGGAAGGAAAGAAAGAAAAGAAAAATTACCTGGCGGTGGCGGTGGAACGGCGCTGGCTGCAGGGGAACCTGCCCCACCGGGCGTAACTGAAATCGAAAAGCACATTCGAATCAAAAGGATGTTGATCCAGGAAAAAACCAACGGTGAAGTGAAGACGAAGCGAATCGAAAATTAATTCACGATTCCAGTAAACAAAACAAAATAAAAAGCTGTGATCAATTGAAACCTTTTTAATTACCTCTGCTGCAAGAGCTGGTATCGGCGCTGATGCCACAGCGCGTGGTGAGAGCTACGGCCTGGGTGACATTGATCCCGAAGGAAGCGAGGAGGCCGGGAGTGTTGTAGAGGTTGCAGAGGCAAGGCAGCTCCGTCCGCACGGCTTCCTTGATCGGATCGCAGCAGCTCGCCGGCGGGGTCACGGAGGTGTTGCTGATGTAGCTTGCGCAGGGGATCAGCTTCGAGGCGCACGAGGGCGCGTTGCTGCCGCCGCCCTGTGCTTCCGTGAAGGTGGCTGCAGTGGCGAGGAGGAGGAGAGCTGATATCATCGCCGCCGTGGTGGTGGTGGTGGTGGAAGCCATTTTTGGGCGGTGGGGGCGGCGGGTGGAATTTGGGGTGGTCTGATTTATGGATCTGTGTCACTGAAACGACGCGGAAATGGTGGCGCGGTGTTATGTGTGTGTATTTATATTTTATAGCCGCTCTCTGGGGCGTGAAGTGTGAACTGCGAAGCAACAAGCACGCCGAGTTTGAGGAAAACCTCCGCTGGCAGAGGCAGACAAGTAAAGGGAAAGGGATGCCCCAATACGTGGTCCCACGCGACTCCCATGCGAGTCTGCTGTGAGATATTAAATTAATTATGGTCAAGAAATGGGTTGAATTACAATGATCACTATACTTCCAGTGTTCTAGCAAATTTGCCACTCAACTTTATTTTTTGTTATGACACAACAAGTGACTAGGAGCCACTTTGTGTGTTTGACTCCTTGGCCATCTTTTACAAACTATGGAAGTTTGATATCACTCGAATTAATGATAAATAAATATTATCTACTTGGTTATCTGTTAAGAGGAAGAGATTATGATAATATAATACCGTGAATCAACTATTAGGTAATAGGATCGACATGTGAACATTTTGGGTGATCTAACAAGTTAATGTTTGACAATTTTAATTTAAAAGCTAATAGACCCAATTGTTGTTGTGTTAAATATATCAAAGTTCGAGGACAAGTTCATTGAAGATGAAGTTGAGGAATGATTTGGTAATGACCATAAGTTTAGTGAGATTTAAGTAATTGGCCCTGAAATTTTGGTTATTCAAAGATGATCTTGAGTTCGTACTTGAGAAGAGCCTCTACTTTTATTTTCTTTCCATTCGTGGCAAAATACCTCTACTTTCAACATAGATGAAGAAATTTCAACCTTTTATTTTGTTTATAAAGTTCAACAGTTTCTTGATTCATCAATGTGAAAAAGTATTCACGAATTTTGAATGTTTACTTTTTAACGATGCCACTCTAAAGTCTAAAAGACTAATTCCCCTCTCAATGCTTATGCATAGGTTAGTTTGGAATTGGAAGTTGAGATTCTTCAAATATGTGTATTTGATGAATACATGTATTGTAAATAGAAAGATTGTAAGAATTAGATGATTGGAAGAATGTCTTGTTTGTTTGTAGCCATTCAAAATTTTTAAAGAAAAGAAAAAATCACTTTATAAGCTAAAAGTGGAACAAATTAAAGCCCACAATCTCAAAGAAGAATCTCACCTTTTTTTTTTAGAAATCTCACTTTTTGTTGAGATTTAAAATGAGTGATTGTGGGTGATATGAGATTTGAGGGCCTACCTCAAATGCATGTATTGAATAAAGTTTTGGAACAAAAAAATGATGGATTCTCCAGAATACATGAATTCAAAGAATCATTCGTCTAGAATCACAACTTCCAAACGACCCCTTAAAATACTATAAAATGCGCAGACCCATGCTTCTCCGGTCTGAGCCTGCTAATTCAGGAAAAGCCCAAATAGGCATATGGGCCATCAACCATTTCAATGTTACCGCAAACCTTCCGTGCTCGGAACCCCAAAGCATCAAACTGTGGAAAAAAATCCGAAAATGCCCTAGTTATTAAGGGGTCGTTTGGTATATGTGTATCTAAACGATGCATTTAATGAATGCATGTATTGTATAGAATGCATCGTTTTTTTGTGTCAAAATGAAAAACAATACATGCATTTCATTGTTGATGTGACACTTGAAATCATTCAATAGGAATGATTTACAATCTCAACAATTTGGTGAGATTGTGTTTTGATATTGTTCTTCCATTTTTCTTTCCCTTTATATCCCTATCAACTTTTATACATTGTTACTCTTCTATGTAAAAGAAAGGGTAAACATGACATTTCACTTAAAAAGTAACTTTCTCATTTTATTCCTAGAATTACAATTACATCTACCAAACAATGTAATCTTATAATAAATGCATTTAAACAATACATCAATTTACAATGCAAGTATTCATACAATACATCAATTCTAACAATCTCAACAATCTTTATTAATGCATTACTCACCCTTATCAAAAAACAATCGCAAATACCAAACGACCTCTAAAAGAAATTCCCACAATACAACACTTTAATTCCCCCCCCCCCCCCAAATACCCAAGTTTGGAGTGGTTCGCTCCAGTGTCAAGCGAACTACTTAGTGGTTCGCTTGACACTAGAGCGAACCACATCCGAAATAGCCGAAAAGGTCCAAAATGAGGGTGGTTTGCTGCCAACCTCAGCGAACCACTCCTAATCAAAATTTCAAATGATCATAACTTTGCACTTGGTTGTCCATTTATAGCAAAAATAAAATTTGATTCCACATAACTTTTTAAGATCTACAACTTTCACTAGAAAGAAATTTTCATTTAATGTTGTTTGATACCATAAACTGATCATTTTTCGATTTCACAAAAACTTGAAAGATCGTAACTTAGTGCTCTGTAGTCCGATTGTCACAAAGTTTTTTTTTATTGTGCTTAGCTATTTAAGATCTAGAAATGTTTCTATAGAAGTTTTTTTTTAGAATGTATGTGAAAATGTAAAAATTAAATATTAGATCATTCTAAACACCCCTTAAATCCAAGATAATCTCTTATTTTGGAAATTTCTTCATAGTAAAAGTTGTAGATATTTAACAGTTATGCGGAATAAAAAAATATTTTTTTGATCGGATAACCGAGTGCAAAATTATGATTGCTCGAAATTTTGATTAGGAGTGGTTCGCTGAAGTTGGCAGCGAACCACCCTCATTTTGGGCCGTTTCGGCCATTTTGGATGTGGTTCGCTCTTATTGGGCCAAGGAGAGGATCGGTCGACTTTGGCCCATCACGTGCAGCCTAGCATGGTCATGCAATCATCACCGTGTCCGATTGGTGATAGGAATTGTACCCTAGTTGATTTGTGTAAGGGTATAAATATCCCTGTAAGGCCTATCGGCCAAGTCACGTAATAATAAAAACCTAAAGTCTTCTGTGGATGTAGATCTCACACACCGTGAGATTGAACCACGTTAAACAAACGTGTTCCTTTAATTTCCGCAGTTCATACTATTTCTCATGGTATCAGAGCAATCGGTCTAGTTGATCGTTGTCATCGTTATTGATCATGGCTGGCGACGAAGAAGAGAAGAAGTCGGATTCGTCTTCCAGTGGTCATGGTAAGGAGCTGTCCAACGTCAACATGGACGCTTCGTCAGTCTATTATCTTCACCCCTCCGATAGCAATAGTCAGTTGCAGGTTGGGGATCTTCTCACGTCCACGAACTACGGCGAATGGGTAGTAGATGTCACCGATGCCCTAATCGTCAAGAATAAGTTTGGTTTTGTCGACGGGACCATGCCTAAGCCTGCCGCAGAACCTGAACAGCGTATCTGGACGCGCTGTGATGCGCACGTCAAAGGTTGGCTGCGCATGTCTATGTCCAAGGAAGTCAGGAGTAGTGTTCGATATGCGAAGACGGCTCGCGAAATCTGGGTAGATCTCAAGGAGCGCTTCGGACAGGGTAGTCTCACTCGAGGCTATGAATTACGTCGTCTCGTCTCGGCATTATGGCAAGAGAAATTGTCTGTGTCATCCTTTTATACTCAACTGCGAGTTTTGTGGGAAGAAGCTCAGTCACTTTCACCATCGGAGATCTGTACTTGCGGATTGTGTACCTGTGGCCTAGAACGCAGGATTCAGAGCAAGGAGGAGACTGCAAGGCTTTATGATTTCCTGATGGGACTTGACGAAAGTTTCGGCACAATACGCAGCCAAGTGCTGTCTATGAAACCTGCACCCACACTTGCAGAGGCGTTCAACATAGTTCTCAATGATGAACAACAGAGGCTGCTTGCGCAAAAACGGCGCCCTTCCTCAGAATCAGCTGCTTTCGCCTCGCGGGGTGATTCTTCTGATCGGAATGGACAGCGTAACAGTGAAGGTAAGCCAATGTGTACACATTGTGGTAAAGTCGGCCATTTCAAGGCCACTTGCTACGATTTGATCGGATGGCCAAATCGTGGTGAGTCAAGTCAGTCTGAGAAGCCCTCTAGTTCGGACAAGAAGCAGCAGCGGCGTCCACCGCTTGGAAAAGGCCAGCCCAAGGCGGCACAAGCTGAAGCCGAACCGGGTCTTGTAGCGGGTTTCACTGTCCAACAATTGGAACAGCTACGTCAGTTCTTTAATCAACCAAAGCCTGTTGACGATCCAGTTGCTCACATGGCAGGTAATCTTTTTAACTCTTCTGAATGGTTGATAGACTCAGGGTGTAACGAGCACATCACCAGGGATGGTTCAATTTTTAGCAAAGAGATTATGTGTTCTGACAGCCAACCGGTTAAGATTCCTAATGGAGATAGTGTTCCAGTTGCCAAAGTTGGGTCAGTAAAGTTGTCTACGGGTTTACATCTTGATCATGTACTTCATGTCCCGGAGTTACAGTGCAATCTACTTTCAGTAAGTCGTCTCACAAAAGATAACAATGTTGCGTTGATTTTTCTCCGTGATCTGTGTATACTCCAGGACTTACACTCCAAGAGCGTGATTGGGAAGGGGATTCTCCGTGATGGTCTATATTATCTAAAGTTGTTTGGGAGTCAAGAAAGGTTGGTATTTGCTGCCGACGGCAAAGGTTCTGTGTCAGAAGATGTCTGGCATGCTCGTTTGGGTCACCCATCGCCAGCAAAGTTTTCACAACTTAGTCAGTTTATATCAGTTTCTTTTAGCAAGAACAAGAACCCCTGTCACTCTTGTTTTCGAGCTAAGCAAAGTCGGACCCCTTTTCCCACTAGTTCTATCAAAACTTCGGCTTGTTTCGAGTTGATTCATGTAGACATTTGGGGAGGATATAAAGTTGCTTCTCTTACCGGTGCACATTACTTCTTAACCATCGTGGATGACTTCAGTCGTGGTGTTTGGGTTTATTTGTTGAAATTTAAATCTGATGTTGCACGATGCTTAAAGATGTTTTGTGAGCTTGTGGTCACTCAGTTTCATAAAAAGGTTCAGCGAATCCAAGCTGATAACGGATTGGAATTCAAT